CGCTCTCCCGTCAGCCTGGCCCGCCTCCAACAACAGCATTACGGAGCGCAGCATCGATCGGCGCCTGCTTTTTATCTTCTCTCTTTGAGAGCCTCTGATGGGCAGGGTGAGCCGTGCCGGCATCACCCAGGGGAGACGGGACCTGCACGGGGTGTCCCTCCTGGCACCGCTGTGGGGACAGACGGACCCCCCTCCCTCCCAGGGCCTCGGGGCATCCAAGAAGGGCCAAGCCCCAAAAAAGGGCAAACATCTCATAAGAAGCATCCAGCGACTTCTTAGCGAAGGAAATGGTCGCTCAGCACACACAGGAGTGTGAAACTGATGGGGACACCTTTGCTCCGGGACTTTCTGCAATCCAGAGCCTGCTAGCCCAGGCCAAGGTGGCAGGACAGAGAGAGGATGTGGCCTCCTGTTTCTGCAGCCCAAATCCACCATGGCTTGGGAAATGTGAGCAAGGACTTCTCCTGGGCAGCTCCCCTGCACTTGGCTACTGTTTTCAGCACGTGGGGACAGACTAAATGGGCTGCAGCCCCTGACACCATCTCTTGAGCATCTCTTCCTGCTCTGCCTCCCCAGATACATGTGCACCAAGACACAGGTTCTCCCTTTCCCTCGGGAAGCAAATGGGAGGCACAAGCCTGACGCCTGGTCTCCTTGAGCATAGGAATCAGCTCAGATTGCCAGGAGCCGGTGTCTTAGCCGAGATGAGAAGATAAATCACCTCTAATGGGCTAGCTGCAGCACTGAGGGGCTAGCTGTGGCACCAATGGACTAGCTTAGGCACTGATGTGCTAGCTGCAGTGTCAGTGGACTAGCTGAGACACCGACGGGCTAGCTGTAGTGCGGATGGGTTAGCTGAGGCACTGATGGGCTAGCTATAGTGTGGATGGGCTAGCCGCGGTACTGCTGGACTAGTTGCAGCACCTATGGCCTAGCTGAAGCACTGATGGGCTAGCTGAAGCACTGATGGACTAGCTGTAGCATAAATGGGATAGCTGCAGCACCGATGGTCTAGCTGCAGCGTGAATGGGCTAGTTGCGGCACTGCTGGGCTAGGTGCGGTGCTGCTGGACTAGTTGTGGCACTGATGGGCTAGCTGCAGGTGCCACAGGTACCGCCAGTGTCCTGCCTTGGTTGCGCCATGCAAGGCTCAGGGGCTACTCCAGGGTCTCTGAAGCTTTGCCCGTCCCCGTCCAGGTCCCCAGGTCGCCTGCAGAGTGACCAAGCATGGACAGCAGTGCCGCCTGCTGTGCAGAGCAGCACCCCCTCCTCATCCCTCCTGTCCCCACGGGCAGGACGCCGGGGCCCCTCACAGCATCCCTAGCGGCATCACCCCTCGCTGCTTCGCAGACCCCGTCCCGCGTCCTCGGTGCCAGGCGGGCGCGCGATGCTGCCGGGACACACTGCCACCACGCGGCCACTGCCTCGTGTGGGGCTGGCCTGACCCCTCTGCACCCCTCCTGAACAGCCCCCCGAGCCCCTTGCCTTAGGGAGCTGGCAGTGAGGAGGGGGATGAGGGGGATGGGGCTGTAGTAAGGAGGAAGCCTCCATCTCTGGCCCTGCGATTAGCTGCATAGGAGAGTCTGCTTGAATAATTTAACTGGAAGGCTCATTACACAGGCTCTGGCCTTCATCTGCCATCTGAAGGCTGAAATAGCCATTAGGAGGAACACGCATCTCCCATCAGCACAGGCTCGTCTCCCTCCCTGGCCCCGCTTTGCTCTCCCCGCTCGGCACCATTTTGGGCTCTGCTCTCATGGTGTTCAGCCTGGCTCCCTCCCTGTGCCATGCCAGCAAGACCTCACATGTGCCTTAGTTTCCCCACGTGGATTGCAGCAGGGTACAGTAGCTGGATCCCATGGTACCCCCAGATCTTTTCCCTAGCAAGGTCAGTGTCCAGGTAGTAAGGAGAGCTGACTTTGGTCTCGGTCCAGGTGCTGTTCTACGAACCTACAGAGGTAAAACCTTATCAGCTAAAAGCTATCAAGCCTCATCCACCAGCCCTCAGCACCTCTCAGACATCCCACAGCTCTGCCTGCAGTCCTGCAAGGATCACAGGATGTGTTTGTGCCTGGAAGTGCTGAGTGCAACGTGGGCAATTGGTTGGGTTTAAAAGCTTTATCTCCCTCTGATGTCTCAGATTTGTTGACAAGGCCAGGGCAGGCTGCCCCTTGCTGTGTGCTCCTGTCTCATCCCGGGTTGCCTCTGTGTCTCCTGGGTGGCAGGGCCCTGTCCCTGTCCCCAGGATGGGGATGTGATGCTCTGCCTTTTTGCTGAAAGCATTATCACCAGCAAGTCCTCCTGTGGAGATGAATTTCCTCTGCTGGTTTGAGGCTGTTCTTTCCGGTCTTGCTCTAAGTGATGCTCCCCATGCTCTTAAGGACCTTTATTCTTTTTGAGGATGGCACCACAATAAGTTTTTCCCTCTCCAGAAACATGACTGAGAAAGCTGTTAACGCTCTAGCTTAACAGGGTTAAGGGAATAGGTTGTGCTTGCAGTCTGAGCTGGGTTAAATGGTGTGTGGCAATGCCTGCTTCACTGGGAATGTGCCTCCTTTGGGGTCCTGCTGGTACAAATGGGGCATGGTACCTGCACTGTGGCATCTCTCTGCTTGCATTTCCATGCCAGGAGGCCAGCAGTGAAGGCGCAAGAGTGGCCAGCCCCAAGGACCGCTCTCACCCCGTTGCCCATGTCTGCAGCTGGATGCTTCCATGAGTCGATCAAACACAGCCTGAGCTCCTCTTGCAAGCCGCATCAGCCCAGCTTCCAGCAGCCAGGGATGGAGGGACATCCTGCTGCTTAGGAGCTGGTGACCAACCCAAACTCAGTGAGGTCAGTAATTCTTCTTTCTTTGTTTCCTGGCAGTCCCCCCGAAGGAGCCAGTGCTGATGTGCCGGTCCAACAACTATCCAAAGGGTTTCTACTGCAGCTGGCACTTGCCCAGTCCCACCTACATCCCCAACTCCTTCAACATCTCCGTCATGTAAGTGCCTTGGTAGGGAAGGGCCAGGCTACAAGCAGGGAGAGTGTTTGCCCTCTATAAGATGGAGCAGGTCCCAAGCACTACTGTGAAGTTTTGGGACATTGGGTCTGATCCAGACTCAGTGTGTGGCGCCGTTGTTCCGAAAATGACTCTGGGGAAGGATTTGGATGTCTCTGGTCTTAGGGACATCCAAACAGGTACTGGGGCTTTCTCCCAAGTTTAAGTTCCCAGAGAGAACTGCCGAAGCCCTAGATTCCCAGATCCACTGTCCGTGCCTATGAGGTCCACCAGCCTTGCATTGCCTGACTGTGATCAGGCAATTGTGCCCGCTTCTCACTGCTCTTTGGTGGGTTTGGCAGAACTCTGCTCCCTTCTGGTGTGTGCCAGTCAACTGCGATGTCCCTTCCCCATTATTGGCCATGTTGTGGTGTTGCCTCTCTACTGTAGCACGTATGGAAAAAGTCAGGTCTGTCCCTCTCAGAGAAATGGCCTCATCATCACAGCACTGCTCATGGGGAAAAAGGAGCGGGAAAGGGGGTGCAGAGTCCTCAGTGCTAAATGCCCTGGTCCTGGCACTGCCTCTGTGTAGGATGGTGCCCTGTGTTGGCTTCTGGGACTGTTTTTTTCGACAGAAAGCAAGTCGCTGTTCCTAACACATCAAAGGAAGAGCCAACTCCTGCTCTGGCAGGGTAATATCCTCATGATGGGGTGGGGGAAAAACAAGAGGAGACATTGTTCAGGACCAGCAGGGAGGGGTTCACCCCCATCTCTGTGTAGGTTTCCAGATAGGAATAATATCCCCTTGTGAGTGGCACCTGTGAGCATGGGAAATTCTGCTTCAGAAGGGAAGTCCTTTGGCCATGGAGCTGGTGTGGCACATGGTGACCTGGAGCAGAGGGGGACAAGACGGTGCTCGTGGAGACAGCAGGTGGAGAACAGAGTCCTGATAAACTCAAGAGAGACCCAGGTGGGGCTTGGGACTGAAGCTGCTCTTCTGCACAGCTGAAGGAGCGTGTCCGAGCCCTCCAAGCAAAACTTTGCCCAGCAAGGACAATGTCCTGAGTTGCTCCTAGAGTCACTCCTTGTGCCTTCTCTACCCATCTGCATTGGGAACTGCATCCCCATCCCTGAGCAGTAGTCAGTAGGTAACTGCTCTTTTCTCCCTGCTTTCCAGACATGGCACGAGAGAGATGGTCTGCGAGAAGGACGTCCTTCCCAAAAACAGGTGTCACATCAGATACCTCCAGCTCTTCTCAACAGTGAAGTACAAGGTGACTTTGACAGTCACGAATGCTCTGGGCAAAAACTCCACCACTCTCACCTTTGACGAGTTCACCATAGGTAACTTCCGCAGCAGGAACTGGCCTCTCTGAGCCAGTGTTGGGGTTGGCTTGCTCTGCACACAGCATCACCCGCCAGAGAAATGGGCCATGGGCAGACTCTCCAGATGGATCCTCTACCTCTCCATGCATGAGGTGGAGCTGGGGTACAAGCCATTCTGGCTCCCCCTGCGAATTCCCATTTGATTCTCCTGGTCCTCCTGTAACTTCCCAAGCATAGAGGGGTTGGTGGCATTTGGGCTTGCTGTGAGAGGGGTGCTCCTGCAAAAGGCACTGGTGCTCTTACGCGTGCATAATGACCAAAACAGATGATGGCACCTGAGTGTCCCACGGGAGCATGGAAGGACGTGCAGCCCCCATGCTGGTCGTGTATGGTCCAAGTCTTGTGTGACTGCTGATCTCCTTCTTGGGTGGGGTTGGGGAAGCATCTGCAAGGTTTCTAAGCAGACGGCTGTGAAAATGTAGTTCTCTAAATAGCATTTCTCTTTGTGCTCTTCTTAGTCTTCATAAAAGAGATTTGGTGGCTGTGATGGACACAAAATCATGGGAATTATATATATATATATATGTACAAATATATATATATACACATCATCCTATTACTCCTTTTCCTAGGCGACATGAACCCTCCCAAAATCCTACTCCATGAGCACTCATCTAACTTGCTCCTAAAAAAACCCTCTTCGTCTTTCCACACTACCATGCTCCTCAAGTGGGGGAGCAGTTGTCCTGGCACGTGCAGCTGCTCACATGCCACAAGGAGCCCCCTGGCAAGCTGGCACCTCAAACCTCATCCCACGGGATTTGAGAAGATCCTGCTCCCTCGTCTGGGCAGGATCTTGCCACGTGGTTACGGACTCTCTTCCCCCTGCTGCTGTGGCTGGCATGGACCTGCCTGACGTTGCATCTCGACATAGTAGCCCCAGGCACAAGCACTCGGCAGAGCCTTGTAGGGCAGTGGTAACAAACCTGGTGCAGTAACAGATGACTCTAAGGATGCAGCCCCCACCTTGCTATCCTGTCTTATCTCCAAGCCCTTCGGAAGCCTCCCAGACAACGCTGCAGCAGCCCTAGGCAAGGCTCTCTGGCTGCTTTTGAGGCTGCTGCTGATGTCTTTCTGACTGTGTCAGACAGTCCTGGACAAAGCAATTCAAATAAAAAGCATAGCAAAGCAGGTTTCTGGGTGCAGGGTTTTATCCCTGGCCAAAAGCAGGTTAAAGGTGGTCAGGGGAGGCTGCTGCAGTGGGCTGCTTCACCAGAGCGTTCTCCACTGGACTGTGCGTTCTCCACTAGAGAATAAGAGGAGGCAGAGTTCAGGAACAGGTGGAAAAACAGTTTGTTGGTTACATGTGGCAATTACCAGACCACAAAAGCAAACAAACGAACAAAAAATGCCTAGAAATTCAGGCAGAGTTCAGCCAATGCCTTAGTTGAGGTGCATGGGCCATTCCTCAGCAGATGTAAGCCTGAGTATGCAGGGAGAGGAGCTCCCCTGCTGTTTTGTCTGGCACCAAAAGCAGATTTTCTCTTTTTACCCCAAATTCTGGAAAATATAACAATGCATGGGAGTTATTTTGGAGAAGGGACTGTCCTTCTGTGTTCCCACAGTGTGGTCTGTATTTGAAGCTTGTATTCTTCAGTGAGTTGTGGATGTTGATAGCAAGGGAAGCAGAGTACTAGGAAAGTAAGGGAGTCTCATGGAAATTGCAGTCTTTGTGGAAGATACACTCCTTAAACGAAGGTAACCTCCAGCCTGCAGGGCCCAGCGCAGCAGTTAAGCCCTGCATTTTCCAAGTTCCTCACATTCCCTCCTCCAGGAGTTCAGGACACTGTCCCACAACATCTGCATCCCACCCATGCCCTGCCTGACACATCTGGTGCCACTCCTGAGCAAAGCAGCCGGCACCTCCTCAGCAGAAGGAATCTGCCCGTCCTCCATCCATCCCACGAGGGGAGCCCACCCGGGAAGCACCGTCCGGCAGCCCACCATCGGCACGGTGAATCCTGGCACCGGCACAAGGCAGGTCCTGCCCCAGAGGCTCAATTCAGCCCAGGTCAGAGGCACCACTTAACAGAGAACAGCGTTGTCCTGGGCGGCATGGGTGCAATAGTTCTGCCTCTTCCAAGAGCCAGGAAGGGTGCAGGGTGCGTCCTCACGGGGATGATGACCCTCATCCCCTTAGCAGCATGCAGGAGCACACCAGGGCCAGCAAGTCCAGAGTTGGGCAAGCATGGCCGTGGTCAGTGAGGAACAAGGGAGAAGGTCAGCCCAGGGCATGGCTGCTCCTCAGCCCCGTTGGATCCCTGTTGGATGCTCCCAGCTAAGTGCTGCTCCTTTCTCCTGCCTTTGTGATGCAGGTGGGAGTCCCTTAAAGTCTGCCAAGCCCTGGAGGGCCATCACCCACTACTGCTGCTCTCTGGTCTACTGGTGATCTATTTCATTGAGATAAATAGAGAACAGTGCGTTCAAAGATAAAAGTTTCTGCCTGATAGGGAAGAGAACAGGCAATGCTTGGCAGATGCTAGCTGTGTCACTCAAATGTGTCTGGAGACCATGGTGATGAGCCAAGGTGCTAGAAGAAAGGCTGTTTCCTACATCCCAGAGCCAGTCAGCTTCAGCAAACACTTCAATATCTTACAGCCTTAACATCTCCAAAATCTACACAGCTATGAAATTCTCTCTTCCTTGTCATTTTTACAGCTCTCCGCGCAAGCAGCACAAATGCAGTGGTCATTAAGTGTTTAAGTAGGCAGTCAACAGCCTTGGCAGAGTCATTATGAGATGAACTCAGCTGCCTCGAATCACCAGCAATGTACCTGGAGGCAATGTACCTTAATCTGCGCCTCTTCTTGTGTCTTCCTTGGTTTCAGTTAAAACAAATGCACTGTATTAGTATATTTGGTCATGCAGTTTTGCCTTGACTGTTAAGGGCAGAAAGTAGCATGGGCAACTAGTCCAAAGGTGTGTGTGAGCCCAAGGGATGCCCTCCCATCACTGTGGGCTCTGGAAGGATCCAACATCCAGCAGGTGTTCTGGGGATCTCTACCTGGGCTGCAGTGGGAAAAAGGTTTCATCTTTGGAGGTGTGCTGAATTTTGTTTGTCTAGTTAGAAGTGGATAAAGTTTATGACTCTTTAGACAAAGCTATCGCATCAGCTTGTCATAGGAAAACAGCACTCGAGGGCAGAGCCCTGTTGAACTGGAGGAGCTGGCAGCAACTGCGAGAGCAACGCGGTGTTGGCAGCTCTCCCCACTGAATATCCAGGTGGTGGAATAACTGCCCTGGCTTCCCCGGCACGGCTGACCCGGAGCCGAGACAAGACCCGCTGCTCGCTTCCCCCTTAGACCACCCACCGGCAAGGCCCCGGCTGACACAAAGAGACCCCCGGGAAGACGTGACCTCCTTCAGTTTTGCTTCCTTCCTCCTTCCCCTCGGCCCTGGAGTCCCCAGCAGAAAATCCCTTCTCCAGCTGCTCAGGAGATGAACTCTAATTGAGTGGAAAATGACTGGTAGTTGCTTTTGATATCCCGAGCTGATGCCTTGCTGGCAGTCGCGCGGTGCCGGTTATTAGCAGCCAGCTGTGAGGTGTTGCTCTGCATTTCCATTTTCAATGATGGCTGGAAGAGGCTTCGCACCCCTCTGGCCCCCGTCTTTCATCACAGAGAGATCTGGGCTGACTTCCTTCCTGTCAATCCCCTGGAAGTTGTTTCCTTAATTGCGGAAAGGTATCAATATTCATAGAGGTGAGCCTGGGGAGCTGGAAGCTGTGTTGGCATTCAGCGCCTTGCAGATGTCATGAGCTCCAGCCCTGGGACAAGAGAAGGCTGGGGAAGGTTGGAGAGGAGAGGATTTGGAGGCAGGGGAAGGTGGGGACATCTGTGACCCCCAGCCCTTCATGTGCAGGTGTGAGCAGCCAGAAGTTTCCCTTCCTTTGGATGCATCCCTCCTCAAGGTGATGGAGGCCGCTGTCTCCATGGCCAGTGGCCCATCACCAGGAGCACCAGGACCTTGGCACCGGAGCCCACCCAGCCCTGCAGCAGCACAGCATGTGAGGAAGAGCTGGCATCTCATTCCTCACTCGCTTTTCAGCCCGAACACTGGACAGATGGCAAGTGCATCCCTCAGCAAAGCAGGAAAAACAGAGCCTCCACACAGCAAAGCCAATCGCAGCATCCCACCTCGGCGATGCTTGTGCTTCTTCCAACATCAGCCTGGGGCAAATTAGCAGCAGAAGATACACAGCATTAAAAATGCAACAGCCTAGGAGCACTAATTATTCTGCACGTCTGGTGTGTGCGCTGCAGGCAGGGCTGCAGACGTGCTGGGCACGCAGCGGGGACCGGAGCCGGGGACCGAACAGGGCTTCCTCCCAAGGAAGCCAAAAAACTTTGCAGACAAGCTGGTGGGTTATTAATAGGGTTTCTTCTCCCATCTGGAGACAGGACACGATGGGAGAATGTTTAGAAGAGGAGGATAGTCCTCCAGGAAAGATGAACGCAGTCTGAGATGGGGCCTGGGTGATGGGTGCTGAATCTGCCACAATGGTTTGTGTGACCTTAGGAAGATCACTCGATTTTCCCCTCTTTGGGGTGGTTAAAGACACAGTGTATCTTGGTGGGTCTTTGGAAGAATGCATGTGCCCATGTCTATGAGATATTCAGACTCTCTGCACGTTAGTATACAGTTACCTAGGCAGAAGGTCAGTTCAATTCATACTACTTAGGGAGGCAGAATTAAATTACCTAGACTGACATTTGGCTAAGACATGGAGTTTAATATCCCTCTTCTCCTGGAAAATGCCAGGGGATATTTAACAGTCACAAGGAACCCATTTTCTGCTCATTTGAAAGATGGGTGCTCAGGACAAGGTAGTGAAGGGTGGACTCATAGCAAGTCCTCCATCACGCTCCCTCCATGCTCTGAGTCTCTGCTGCCTGCCTGAACCAGAGGCAGTCTTATGCAATTTTTATGCAAAAAAAAACACCAGCCTGGGGCAATAGATAAAAAGCTGGTTAAATACAAGCGTGCGGAGCGTTTAGCAAAATGCTGGCACTCACCCCCTGCAGCAGACCTGATAGAGAAAAACGCTGAGATTTGGAGATAACTGAGTGATCCTTCCTGGCACTGCCACCATCGGAGACAGTTTGCACAAGTCTGCTGCTTTCCGCGGCTCTTCTCGCAAGCTAAGCCCTCGCTTGGACGCTGCAGCTGAGACCGAATCGGGAAGAGCTGTGAACCGTGTCCCCGGCCAAGTCCCAGTGCTCCTTCTCAGGAATGCTTGGAGATGCTCCCTCAGCTCTGCGGAATGATATTACATCTGGTTTTGCAGCCGCTTAACCACTATGCAGCCTAATGCCCATCGTCCATTATTATTATTACTCTTATTGTTTATATTACATTACTTCCTAAAGACAGGCCTCTCTTATCCCAGCTCAGGCACGGCCAGACAGCCTCTGCCTCGCAATTTACTGCCTAAATGGACCAGACAGGCATGGCGTGGGGAGAAGGAGTGTTTATGCCCATGAGAGGAGCAGACCTGCGAGGCCAGCTAGGAGAAATGACTCATCCAAGGTCAAGCAGGAAGCACATTTCAGCACCGGGAGCTCAACCTGCAGGGTCATAGCTCCTTTCAAGCCCAGGCACAAGTCCTATGGCTCAAGAAGGGTCATGTGAGGGAGGAAAAGGGGCAGGTGACCTTGGCCACAGTGGCAGGTCGCCTTCCTTCACACTCATTTGTGCATATTATATGCATACATATATTATATGCATTATATATTACATGCATTATATATTTTTGCATGCATACATAGTATATGCGTTATGTTCTAAACCAGCCCACTGCAGCAGCATCCCTCAGGCTGCCCAAAGCCCATGTGCTCAGCTCAGCACGGCTGCCCTCAAACATCCCTGTGCCCTCACCAAAGCCACCACCCTCACAGCCCCCGAGTGCAGCTGCAGTTTGGAGGCATCTGCATTCGTTCTGCCGAGCAAATTTTTGTTTTTCACGCTGAGTCCGCAGAGCCAGCACTGGATTTATCCTTTTCCGTATGTGTTTGGACTCCAAGGTCCTGTCAATGGGAGCTGGTGTCCAGCCCAAGCGTGGAGCTCCAAGCGAGCGGAGGAATTACACAGCCATCTGGAGCAGCTCAGCACTGCGCAGACCCGCTACACCTCCCTCCCTGCTGCTCACCGCGCGACGGCAAGGCCACCGCAGGCAGCTCAGCACTGGCCAGCACTGGCCTCCGTTGCCGGCCGCCTCTCAGACAACAGATGTGGAATGGACATCCTCGGGCAGGAGGGCTGGAGAGGTGGAGGGGACTAAGTGAGCACACGGCTGGCTCCAGGTGCCCCACCGCTTCTGCGTTTCTCCCATGCGGAATGATTAACACTGCAACTCCCTCCTGGCCAGGAGGAAGGATGCACCCAAATCTTCACCTTTTTTTTTTTTTTTTGATAGATTTGCTATTGCAAACCTTTGACAAAGAGCAAGGCTTGCTCTGGAGCAGGAATATCATTCATCACTACGTCAGCGAGGTTTCCCTAACTGCTTCCCTCTTTTCTTCCTGCAGTGAAGCCGGACCCACCGGAGAACGTGGTGGCCAAGCCCGTGCCCAACAACCCCCGGCGGCTGGAGGTGTCCTGGCAAAACCCTTCTTCCTGGCCTGACCCCGAGTCCTTCCCGCTGAAGTTCTTCCTACGCTATCGACCCCTCATCCTGGACCAGTGGCAGCACGTAAGTCACACACGTGGCGTGGGAAAAAGGGATTTAGTGCCGGGCAGTGCTCAGAAACCTGCCAGAGAGGGTGCCAGCAAGGGCAGAGAGGTGACCTGTCTCTTCCTCCTCCTCTCCCCACTTCTCTCTCTCCTGCCTTTCCCTTCGTTTAAGAAGTCTCCTTCTGCCTCCAAATGGCTTTGTGCGCTCTCCCCTCTCTGCATTTTAATACACGGCCTGTAACTATTTTCCATACATATGTTCTATATAAAACCTGCCAACGAGATGTAAAAGGCATTTAAAGTATAAATGTCACTGCATTTAAATGCGCCTCTGCCACATTTAGATTTTGAACTGAAGATAAAATACCGTGCGCCGTAACTCGGAGCGTAGTCAGTAACAGAGCGATTGCCTTGATGTTATCGTATTTCTTACTTTTATTTCTTGTTTCTTTTTTTTTTTTTAAAAAAAGGAACTTGTCAGTGAAGTTCTTGGCAGCCCAAAGGACGGAATTCATTCCCAGACATTCCCAGGCTGTGGGAAGATGAGGAAGGGGCTTTAGCTGGTGCTGCCCATGCTCTCCCCATACGGAGGGGAGCAAGGTGCTGCTCTGCCATGGGAGCCAAATCCCTGCATCGCTGCGATGGGATGGCAGCAAGCCCGATAAGGCAAGCTCAGGGGTGGCTTGTTTGATAAGGAGGTTTTGTTCCCCACCAAAAAATGGGAAATACTGCCCAGCACCTGGTCCCTGAGGACTCACCTGCATGGTGGAGCTGAGCAGGAGTTTTCTGCTAGCCCATTGGTCTCGGGGGTTAAAAACGACTCCAGCAGGGAAGGAGTCTTTGCTTCGCATCTGAGAAGATCCAAGTCTCTTCAGAACGTTAACAGCTATGGGGCTCTTTCTGTTTTTTGGGTTTTTTTTTTTTTTTTTTTTGGGGGAGGGATTTC